GATGGTCTCTAAAGGAGCCCTCATCTCACGCACGCTTATTTTTACACAAATTGCAGTGAGATAGTGAGACCCAAGGGTAGTGGCGATGTGCAGCTATGTTCCTTCTCATGTCAGCTCTCCACATCTTCACTCTATGACAGGACATGGGAGCAGATGAGACAAGCTGTCACTCACCCACACTGCCCTTTGAAGAAGGGCCATGGGGGGAGAAAGGTGCCGCAAATGGGCTGTGAAGTTTACATACACTGCCCACTGTTAAACAGATTACGTCTAATGAAGTGTCTAATGCTCAGGCCATATCACCCTAATCCTTGGTGGCAGTTCATCCCTCAACTGCCAAAAAACACGGCCCTCTGGCCCTCTCTCGCCACTCTGGCCGCCAAGCACAGGGAGGTGCCCAGTCTTAATAAACCAAGACAGTGTGTGATCTGACATGCAAATGTAGGTCATTGCATATGTAAATGTGTGATTACAAACCTGCATGCCAAAACACATTAGTGAGACTTTGCTCTCAGCATGTGGTTGTCACACTGCCTTAGCAATTCATGCTAATATTTGTCAAGTTATTGTGCAGACAGAAGATAGCGTTCCCAGTCAGATTGAAAGTGTATGGATCAGACAACGGTGTTTCTGGTAATGAAGCTGTGTTTTTCTGTTGAGACTGACAAGATTTCGTCAAGAGAACGAATGGTTTCTGTGTGTATGGAAGAGGGAATTTCATTTCTTGGATGCTTCGAACTGTCCATGTGTGCGGGCATGCATGTATGTGTGTCTGTGCGCACGCGTGCATGCATGCATGTGTGTGTGTGTCTACTTATGCATGCTCCTGTGTATATGTATGCACATGCATGTATTAATAGGTCCTTACTGTGCAGTTAATTACAGGGTTCTATAGTGAGACCCTACTACAATGTCGTGTTTGCTTGACATTAGCTCTTGGAGCAAGTATCCAGGGTGTCAAGAGGCTGGTGAAAGTCTTGCAAGAGTGTCCTCACCAATAATTTCAGGAAAAACCATGATGACTAAAAATTCCTCTTACAGTGAGTCTTTTTGAAAGTTTAGCTATTTTAAAACATCCCTGTCCATTGAATGTATCTGAGAATTGATACTTTTATGTATTTCCATTGTTAAATATGGGCCATGTTGTCTTAGCTGACATTGTAAATTCAGAGATTACAAAAAATTTTTTATAAGTGAGCAGCCTGACAATTTTCTGGCTTTGGTTTTTTGTGTCTCTATTTTTTCTTATAGTAGACGTCTACACTTTTATTGTTAACAATTTCAGTAAACTTCAAATTGGAAATATCTTGAATTATTGGGCCAAGTTTCAAAGCTTGGTGTCTCATTTTAGGGGACTTTCTTGGCAATATGCCACAAGCAGTGTATTTGGAAATCAGATCCTGCAGGTTTGATTTGATAAGAACAACAATTGGTTGGCGCAAGAACTGAATTAGATGAGGCACAAATCCCTAATGTATACAGACTGTTAAGTACTAGGCACCACAGTAGAGCTTCTGTTACTGTTGAGTAACTATTGCTACTATTTTTTATTATTATAACAGCTATCCTATGGTCTTTGATAAAATGACTTTGTATTTTTTTTGGTTTGGCTATTTTATATATTTTAAAACAAGAATACTTTACATTTTATATTTATTTTACATGTATGTGAGTGTTCATGTCACAGTGTACAGAGGGAGGAAGTCAGCTCTTTCCTTCTACCATCTGGGTTCCCGAGATCAAACCCACTTAGTCTCTGAGGCAAATGCCCTTAGTGAGCCAACTCACCAGCCCAAAAATGGTATTTAAAAGAGAAAGAAGAGCTGGGTTTTCTGTAAAAGCAATGTCCAGTTAGCAAATTGTCCCCACTCCATTTTGAGAAAGAGTGGGTTAAAGTTATGGAATTCCATAGGAGAATTTTACAATTTCCTTTGGTATAATAAATGAGATGCAATTAGCAAGATAAAGTGCAGAAGTCTAGGAGTTAATGTACTGCTCATATATCAAAAGAGACTATTGGATAAGTCCAGGACATGGCATTATCAGCCTTACCCCCAAGTTCATTTGAAGGCCAAATGGTTCAAGTTTGATGTAATTTGTTTACCAACAGGTACCATCTTTGAATGCATTAATAGTCAGTTCATTAGAGGTGCACTAGGCAGGCCCACTAGAATGCTGTGTTTACAAGACCTTAGCTCATAGTTACAGCAAATACTAAGACTGTGAGATGGGTGGAAGAGTGTACTCAATAGTAATTTAGGAATCTTATAAAAACACCAAAAAATATTATGAAGCTCTCCCACCCCTCAAAAAGGCATATGACTGCTAAGCAGACCATTTTATTATGTTATATATAGGTAAAGTTACTAACATGAGGAACATGGGAACATTCCATGGGTATGGGTAATGACCTTGACAAAGGAAAGTATTTGAGAGCCTTGGGTCCTCAGCTGATGTTTAGTTTTGTTCTAGCTAATTGCCCAATTGACTGCCCGAGTCCATGAATTAGATGTATTAGTACCATGGTAGAGTTAAACAAATCAACAAAAGAATGAAGATAATGGTTAAAATTTTCAAGCCGAGTTTTTCTTAGGCCTCGTCACTTCCAGGTACCTCCCCTATACCGTGATGCTTCACTCATGGCCCAGTGAGGAACCTTTTCTGAGTATTTTGGCAAACTGTTAAAAAGCAGAACACATTTTTGATTCATTTGGTTTTTGACTGATTAGCAGTAGTAGAGAAAAAATTAGTTAAGAATGAAATTATTTTACTTCTATCTGAGAAGCTATTAATTACTGCTTGGAGAGGGACAATTTGTTTTCTGTAGTGATATATTACTTATGATTTATTAAAGCTTAACTGAAGATTCAGAAAAGCCAAGTCAGCCCCAAGCTATAGAGATCAGGCAGTGGTGATACACACCCTTAATCCCAGCAGCCAGAAGCCAGGAGGTGGTGGTACACACCTTCAACCCTAGGACTCAGACATAAGAGTTAGATCGATCTCTGTGAGTCTAAGGCCACCCAGATCTACACAAGAATGAATCAGTGTAAAGGAGAATTGTAGCTCACACCTTTAATCCCAGCATTATAGGGGTTTAAAAGACAGGAGAAAGTAGTCAGTAGGAGGCATTCATTCTCCAGCCAGGCTGAGGAAAGGTTACTGTCTGAGGCTCGGTGAAGAGCTGGTGTGTGAATCAGCCCTTTTAGCCTGGGGTTAACGTAAGAAGCTAGTGGCTGGCTGCTTTGCTTCCCTGATATTCAGCTTGAAGTTTGACCCCAATATCAGTCTCTGGGTCATTTGTGTATTTGTGTTACAACTTTCTTCAGTGGAATGAGTGACACTGGGTATACTGCAGGGAAGGCTCATGCTCAGGAGTAGTTGACCGAAACAAAAGGGACTCCATGGTCATTTTGTGTGTGCTTTGTTGTTATGGTTTGGTGGTCTTTTGTCTTTGGGGGTTTTGTTTCGTTTTTGTTGGTTTTATGAGACTGAGAAAGTGAGAGAACATCAGGTTGGGTGAGTAGGGAAGGACTGGGAGGGCTGGAGGGAAGGGGAGAGTATGATCAAAATATAGTCTATGAAAAATTTAAAAAGAACTGCCAAGTAAAAAAGAATCAAATGATCTCCTCCACAAAGACAATATTATTAAAAAATATGATGGTATAATGACAGTCTTCTTGCCACTGGCAACAGTTATTTATTCATTTATTTACCTATTCGGTTAGTTCATTCGTTTTTTTTTTTCTTCAAAAGCTTAAAATTCTGTCAGGAATTTAAAAATTGTTGCATGTATTAGTAGACAGATTTGAATAAGTGATTATATGTGTATGTGTGTGTTTGGAAGACATTGCTGGGTAGTAGAGGTCACAGTCTCCCCATGGCCAGGCCCCTTATCTCAATAGCTCAGCAATATTCCCTCCCTCCCCAGCAAAGCTTCCTACTCTCTACAGAGCCTTATCTGGAGGATGTCTCTAGGCCCTGATGTCTGACTTATCTCAAGGGTTACTCTTGACACAGTTCTCTGCAAACATTCTTCCGTGATGACCCACATGGTAATTAGGCAAGTGCTCTAGCAATTTTGATAGGCCCTGACTGTCACATACAAGGCCTTGAGATAGGAGAGTGCCACTTAATGCAAATTAGGGTTTGTCCCCAGGCTCCCTAATGCTATATATTTCATATACTCTGGAACAAAGTTCAGCTGATTCACTGAAGTCTGTCTCCTAGAGGTCTGTCTCTGTTCGTGCCTACAGCCATCTTGAACCCTGTTCTCTGATTCTGTTCCCTCCACCCTCATGGACTAGTGCAGCCAGTGATTCCAAGTAAGAAGCAGAACCACATGTGTGTGTGGTAGGCGGGGCTGGGGGGAGTGGTGCCTATTTCAACTCAGAATAAGCACCACAGAAAGGAAGAATCCTTGAGACTGGCTTATAGAAATGAACTGAAGGCAAGTCACAGGAAATTCTTAGCTAAAATTTCAAAATCCTTCTAATCCTCTGTCATCCATTTTCCTTGATTTATTATGTTTTCAGTCTTCTTTTTCTTTCTTCCTTCCTTCCCTTCTTTTCTTTTCTTTCCTTTTTTTTTTTTTTTTTTTTTTTTTTTTTGAGATGAGGGTCTGTCTATGTAGCTCTGACTGTCCTGGAACTCTGCAGACCAGGCTGAACTCAGAGATCCACCTACCTCTGCCTTCCAAGTACCCAGATTCAAGGAGTGTGCCACTACACCTGGCTAGCTTTCCCAGTCTTAAGTGCTGTATGTATTTCTTCTTCTTATCACCGCCACACCAACAAACCCCTAGAGTATAAATTTCTTCAGGGTGATAGTTGTATCTTCAGTTTCCTTTTCTATTCTGAGGAGTGCATATGTTGGTGGTGGTGGATGTCTGCAAGTTTGCTCCAGGTAGTACGCTATGTATACCATACCTTTACCTTCTTAAGTCACATCTTTGTATGTATTGTGTGATTGAAACTTTTTTGTACTATTTTTAATTGCAGAAGGCATTACGACCGGATATGGGCTATAATACCTTAGCCAACTTCCGAATAGAAAAGAAAATTGGTCGTGGACAATTTAGTGAAGTTTACAGAGCATCCTGTCTCTTGGATGGAGTACCAGTAGCTTTAAAAAAAGTGCAGGTAAGATGATTTTAATTGTATAAATCCATGTGAAGTTATGGCACCTAAATACTAGGTGGGAAGCAATGTCTGGAACGATTTGGGTCACAGAGCTGTAGATTGAGCACCCAAAGAAAGAATATTGTATTTTAATTGTGTATTTTGGAGGTAATATAGTGTAGAAATTAACTTTTTCATACCATGATTACATAAAGCCCATGCTAAACCTGTCTTGTTATACTTTTGTTATATGTGCCTCCAATAAACAAAAACTAATGTTTAGTTTTAACAGTATTTCCAGCCTTTAAAATGTTGACAACTATTTCCCCCCATAACCAACAATGACTAGAGGTGATGGCAGATCTCAAAGGGTAGAGTTAAGGTCACCGTCACTTCTAGCTAGACATTGAAGTAGAATGTCTCAGCTGAAGCTCTGTATCTATTTGCTGTTGAAGGAAGTAATTGGTTCATAAAACACATTGCATGACGTCAGGGAGTGGCAGATGGATCTTATTTACTTGGGGAAAGTGATATAGAGGAAATGAGAGGATTAACTCGTGATTTAAAGTCTCCGTGCTGTATTGGTATCATTGTACAGTCAGTTTTGTTGGCCAGTTTTCTTTTCTAATTTGTTCATCATTTTTAAGCTTCTCTCCCAAGCTGAGCCCTAACCTTGGAATTGTAGTCTCACTGAACACGGATAATCAGCAGGCATGCCCACTTTCCATTTGTTCTAATTGGGGTCCTCGGCCCAGAAGGCACTTACCCTTTTGTGTTAAAATCTAAATGACATTGCACAGTTATACTGGCCTTCTTAGTGAATGAGTTGTTGTTGGTTCCTGCCATCCGGGTCCCATTTTGCTCTGTCACTTGATTTGAGTCCCTATCTCTGTAGAAATCTCTGAAACCTAAGTGTCTTCCTTTAATTGTTTTTTTTAACTTCTCACATGATCAATACGCTTATAGTAGCTTCTAGTATAGTGCTAGAAAAAAAATATTAAATGAAAGATCCACATGACATATGGTTAGGTTATAAGCAGCATTGCTGGTGTCCTCATACCCAATACTCAGCTTAAGAAGTAAACATCAAAATATTTTTTATTTGTGCCTTTTACTCATTCCTCAGAGGAATCTATATTATAAATTTAGTGGCTGCTGAGGTTGCTTACCAAGTGTTTGTTGGTCAAACAACACTTGCATGATATTATTTGTTTTTACTATTAGGGAATGCAAGAAATTCTTTTCAATTTGCGCCTGAATGTAGAAATGGTGGCCTGTAGAGCATGCTTGTACACCACAAGTTAATTCTGGGTTGTTTTCCCAAAATTGGACTGGTTTATTTTTCCTGGCAGTGTAAGGCTGAGCGAAGCAAGCGCATTGGTGGTTTTGAGTTTTAGGCCAGCCAGGGTTATGTATCGAGACTAATATAAGATACAGATGTCAGTGTTTAGGAAACACATGACTTGGGGTATGATTACTCCTCTACTGAAGACTCTCTAATTCTTATTAAAACTCTATTAAGTTCCAATTTAGCAGTCTGTCAGTACAAAGAGTTTGCTTCAAACAGTTGCATATTAAAACCGGTGTCTCGGACTACTGATTTAAGTAAGACTTTACAGAACAGAGATGTCAGTTTGTGCTGTTGGGAATTCAAGCCAGGCTATGAATGGGAGGGGTTGGAACTAGGAAGAGGAATTTGAGCAGTATACAAAGGGTTCTCCACCGATCCATTCTTAGGGGGAGACATTCAGACCTCAATACTTTCAAAATACGGTTACAAATTCCCCCACTCAGTACCCCATGGGGAGGAAAGCTCACCTTTACCCAAGGTGGTGAACAAGGCCGTGGGATAAACTTCAGGAGCTTTCTTGGCTCCCTTCTTGGTTTTCACTAACTGTTAGTGTGGAGAAGGAACAGGGCTCTAGCTCTCGCCTGTGATTAGTTCTTAATTGCAGAACCTTGTTATTAGAACCAGGAAGAAAGAAGCAGGTGGAGTTGGCTCCTGGGAGGGAGCATCAGCACTACTTAAATCTCATGGTAGCATCTGGACTATATGCCCTTGCCTGTGTTTTGTTCTTTGTAGTTTGGAAGGCTGACAGTGAGTGAGTTTGTGTATACAGTTGCATTTTTGTTCAGCTTCCGATGTCCTCTTTAGTCTGGCTGCCCCCGTTTTGTACTATATGCTTCAGATGCTGTGGGAACTTGTCAGTGTGCTTTGGACTTTGCCATTCCTCTTCTTTAAGTGCCGGTGCTGTGGTGTCTCCCAGTTTAAACATCACTTTGTATGGAAGAGACAAACGATGCTATAGAGCGTTACCTAGCTTATTTGATTAGGGACCTGTGTTTTAAGGCTTTGTGAAGGGAAATAATTTGCATCTCAGATACGTTATTGATTTCTGTGATGTATTACACTTGTGTTGAACAAAGAAAACCACTATTCTTCATTTTAAAAATAGTAATCTGCTATTCTAACCAAGTGATGTTCTGCTGTGAATACTTCCAGACAAATATTCAAAAGATTCCTGAAGAACCAAATACTGAAGTTTAAGCCTACATCATTAGTCTCAGAACTGTATTACTGTTCTCAACTCTGTGAAAATCCTTCCAGATTTGGCTGTGTTCTGTGCAGATGCTAAAGTATTGCTTCCTTAATTATTTCCTTGTTTGCAAATCTGTATGGAATATTTATAACCTCACTATCTGATCTCTGAGCTTAATTAATGCTCAGGGCCCTTAAGGACTCTGTCCCATATCATGCACTTCACTTACGTAGGGTCTTTAAGACCAATGTGCTGAGTATCTGTCAGTGGAAGGAGTGTCTGTACTGAGCTTATTGCTTTTTTGAAATTATAAAGAAATCTGGAAGCTAAAAGACCATGGGAACAGAACACAGTCTTAAAAAAAAACACCTCATGGTCATTCCTTTATGATTCATTTACAAAGAGTAAGATGGCATCTTACGTGATGTGACCATGCTGAACCTCTCTGTGTAAATTTTTCTTCCCCATTCCTGTTTTTTCATACACAGTTTCCCTTTCTGCTGATTATACAGTTAATTCCACCCACATTCTTTAATTACTTAGTCATTGGTCAGTGTATAAGACTTTGAGATCAAATATTTGTACTGTGCTTTAATGAGATTCTAATGATAGCAGTTGCAAGAACAAGAACATTTCCAAAATCCTGGCATATACCTTGATGGGAGCAGTCTAAAGGAGCACATGTTGGGGAGGCGGGGTCTTTCATATGGGTCCGGTGATTCTGAAACTTCTACATTTTATACTGGAAGATTGTTGAGAAACTTCTTGGATATGGTACCTACCTATAGTTTCTGTTCACTATTTTTTACCTCCTTAACCAGAGCTATGGTATGACTGGAGTGAATACTGACCCTACCAGTCTAAAAGCAGGGGAGATAGGAATTTGGGGTTACTGTATCTCAAGTTATTTGGTTATTATTACTATAATTTTTCAATACTACCAAAAATTTGGTCCATAGTTCATTAAATTCTCTTTGATTCCTAGGTTGTATGTACACATGATATTATTTTAAAAATATACTTCATGTATATTTATTTTAAAAAATCTGCTTTGAACATTTTGTTCAAATTCATCTTTTTGATCTAATGAAACTTCCTGAAAATATATTCTTATGTGTTTAATGGTTTACTTTGATTTACTCGTTTTTAGTTATTTTAAAACATTAATCAAGGATATAACTTTAAAAATTGCCAAATACAATTTCCCCTTTTGTATACACTAATTTTAAGTTCTAGAGTTTGTATATGTAGTTAGATTCTGTGTATATGCATGCAATTCTGTGTGTATGAAAATTTTGAGGATGGTGATGGCTTCTTCCACAATGCACTGGTTGATGGCCAATGTCCTCACAGCTTCTCTAGCCATAGACCCAGTCTGTGTAGACCCAGTCTGTGCTGCAGAGTTTGCTATGACCATTGAACTTGCCTTATAGGTTTTTTTTTTAATTAAATTTCATTGTTTAATTTCATGAGGAGGATCACTAAGGGTGACACATAGTCAGTATTTTCTTGAGTGGAGAACAGTTGAGGCAGTTGAGGTGAGGTTCACTTGAATTAGCTGTAAAGTAAATTAGTGTTAATTAGGAAAGTAGTCTTAAAAGTTGAAGCTTTCTGGCCAGTGAGATGGTTCAGTGGGTAAAGATGTTTGCTGTGCAAGCCTGGAGACCTGATTTCAGATCCCATGGGTTGAATGAAGAGTCAACTCTCAAGAACTGTCCCCTGACCTCCACCTGTGCACCATGGTATACACACACACACACACACACACACACACACACACACACACACACACCACAGTTAATGATACAGGTTTAAAAACTAAGGCTTTTATATGATTACGATCTTATTTGAAATTGTTCTATGCATAAACAATAGTAAATCTGTAGTCTTACCTAGTGTTTAGCGGTATTGTAAGATTCTAGTGAATGACCACATTTAGTATAAACAGATGACTGTTAAGAGAAGCTTTTTCCTTGCTAGCCGCTTTGGTTTATCCCCCGCCAACCGCCTGGGCTCTGCCGCATTGTAGTCCCCAAATAAACACACAGGAGGCTATATTAATTATGAAGCTGTTGGCCTTGCTTGTTTCTTACTGGCTAGCTCTGACTTAGTTAATTACCCCATAATTGTTAATCTAAGTATGTTTCTTACCGGAGAATAGTTCCGGGCTTCCTACCCCCATGGCGTTACATGTTGACTCTCCTGTGTTTCTCCTTCCCAGAGTCCTCCTGGACTCCTAGTCCCTCCTATCTAGATTTCTATTGGCTAAACAGTACTTTATTAACAAATGTACAGTACTTCCCCATCAGATGACTAATGTTAAAATGTATTCTACTTAAAACTATAGGCTTTTCTAATATTTAGTCCCAGCGATTAAATGCAGCAAAAGTCACTTTTTATTTGTACTGTTGAAAGTTTTTGTTATATTTATTAATATTTGTTGAAGCTCTCCTCTATGGTGGAGAATAGTGAGTACTGGGG